CTGGAATTTGATCATATATTATTTAAGACAAACTCATAGGGAAGGCCTTCATAGTATAGTAACAAGGCAGCAAACACACAACAGTGGACTACATGCCACTGTTTCATTTGTGCTATTCTCCCCGTCCCCACAAAAATATTAAATGGCTTACTGAATAGACTTCCCAGTGACAGCCCAATCAGTAATTGTGAACAATATAGGAAGGAATTGGGATAATATAAGCATAAATTAGCATCTGTATTGATAATTATGCAATCCTGTGATTTAGCATTATATTTTGAATGTGTCTTATCAGCTGTTCTTATCAGTGGGAAATTGCTGTTGCAAGTCTCTGTTGTGTTAACCCTCAGGCTTCTATTAAAGTTACCTTATATAAAGCATCTGCCTTTATTTCGGAAATGAAGAATTTGGGCACTTCAGTTCCCCTGCTTCCAGACTGGCAATGTAAAAGGGGATGGGAAATGAACTGTTTTTAGACCTTGAGGAAAGAGGGTATTCCCAATTACTATTATGCTAAAATAAATGAGGACTCTCCAATCTTCTTAAAGCAGGCCTTCCCTGTTTTTGTAGACCTGTTTGGAATTTTGAGAACCCTTGTTCACCCTCACCAAATGGTTAGTCTTATGGCCTTTCATAAAATTGATCGCTTCCATGGAAGTCAGAACCAGTTTCCATGTATTGTTTCATCTGAAGGCTACATGCCACCCTCTGTAGTCTCCTCAGCTGCCTGATGCTCCATGTGACATTTCTTTCCTTGGCAACTGGCCCACTTACAAATAAAACCCTGGGCTGCTGCCAGCCAGCATTTATATTTCCTCAGAACACTTATGGGACTCTTTGGGCCCTACAGGTGTTTCTAGAAAGAGTGCATTTGGAAAACAGGGCTCTGCTATGCAACAGACAGGTAGTCCTCAACCTATGAATGGTATGGAACCTTGCCCATTGTGGTCACAAGTGATGACAACTGTTAAGTAAAACGGCCTTGCTTAACAACTCCCTCCCCTTGCTCGCCTTGATGCCATGGTTAAATGAACGTGGCAGGTTGTTAAGTAAGCATGAGAGACCATTTAACTTACTAAATGATGATGATTATACAGGTAGTCCTTGAGATATGACCAGTCACTTCGACCATTTGAAGTTACGATAGACCCACCAAAATCTACATACTGTATCAACCGCACAGTAACTGCAGTGCCTCCCTGGTCATTCACCCTTATAACCGACCACAGGGATACTGCAGTTCTCCCCCATCTCTCTTCTCTTAACATCCTGCTCCAACAGGACCCTGGAGCATTTGGGCCTGCTCCCATGCCTCCCAGAAGCAGCTGCCATTTTCATGGCATCATTTTGAAAACCCAAGGTTAAAGAAAGAGGAAAAGAAACTATTTAAACAAATAGTGGGAACCAGCAGAGCAAACAAAGAGACCTGTTGTTGGAATGGCTGACATGCAGGAAAGAAGGATTCAGAAAGCAATGTCTCTGTAGGAGAGCCAAGAAGGGGGAATATTTTCACTGAGAAAATGGTGTGGAGGAAAGAGGGAACGCTATTCCTCAGGGCTGCGGACCCAAACTATATACAAATTTCAGAAATGGATCTTTTTGGTTTTATTTTAAATGTCATATATCTGCTTTTTCTCTGAGAAATTCCATGATTTTCTTTGGGGAATGCAAAGAGATGAGGGGTCCATTTGTGGATCACATAACTTTGCTAATTCGGCCTTATGGTTATAATTCTCCAAGGAGAAGTTGTCTTTTCATTTAGAGACATGGCCAGTATATAATGAACGCATTTCCCCTCAAAGCAAATCAACACCAATAGGATCCAGCCACCCAGATTTTTCCCTTGATCACAGACCCCAGCCCAGAATTAAACCAGCCCTCCCTTCATATTCTGAATTAAGAGAGGTTTTGTGCTTAATTAAGCACATTAGACATTAGTTTTACTAAACCTCAGAAAAAAGTAAGATATGTCATAGCTATGCTACTTAATAGCCCTTTTTGCTGCTGCTGCAAAAAATCAGGTGGCCTGCTTCTTAGCAAGAAGCAAGAGCAAGAGCATTTAGACTTATATACCGCTTCATAGTGCTTTACAGCCCTCTCTTAGCAGTTTACAGAGGCAGCATATTGCCCCCAACAATCTGGGTCCTCATTTTACTGACCTTGGAAGGATGCAAGGCTGAGTCAACCTTGAGCCGGTGAGGATCAAACTCATGGCAGTGAGCTGAATTATCCTGCAAAACTACATTCTAACCACCACGACTCTTGTTAGCCATATTCAAAGTATGATCATGCCCCCTTTCAGTCACTAAATGGCATCTCTTACTTCAATTTCTCTGTTGGTGTTTGCCCTCTTCTTTAGGACTTGGTCCCAAGATATCCCTGCCAGCCCTTTTGAAACAAATCACTTTACCTTCTCAGAAGCTCTGTTAATTTTCCCCATCCATTCCTGTTCCTCTGATTCTCTCCTTCCACCTATACAACCTACAATCACAGCCATCTACCCCAGAAAGTGTAGAGCTGAGGCCTGCACAAGAAAGAAAGATACCTGATCCAGGTCAGTGGCTTCCCTGACACAGTGTTGATCAGAGGTGGGTTTTAGCAGGTTCTGACCAGTTCTGAAGAACCAGTAGTGGAAATTTTGAGTAGTTTGGAGAACCGGTAAATACCACCTCTGACTGGCCCCGCCCCCATCTATTCTCTGCCTCCCGAATCCCAGCTGATCGGGAGGAAATGGGGATTTTGCAGTAACCTTCCCCTGGATTGGGTTGAGAATGGAGATTTTACAATATCCTTCCCCTGCCACACCCACCAAGCCATGCCATGCCCACCAAGCCACACCCACAGAACCGGTAGTAAAAAGATCTGAAACCCACCACTGGTGTTGATGATTGTGCCTCCCAGTTGAACGTTCAAATGTTTTGGCCCACATAACTAACAGGTGCTTCTACAGTGGAGAAGAGGTGAAAGGAATCCGGAAGAGAAGTAGACTTGCACAAAGTGAAATAGCACAAAGGTGAATTGGACATGGCATGGACACAGGAGCCCTTTTCCTTGTTGTAGCATTTATGCATAGCTTCTGCTCACAGCTGAAGTTGTTGAAGGAAAAGGGTGACTGCAGCAGAAGAGAGATGTGGTTAAAAAAAGGTATTCTGGCGACACCCACAAATCAGAAAAACACAATTTGGCAAACAATCCCTCCCAACTCGAATGATCTAGACAACCAAATTTATGAGGGTAGTTTCTGCTGACACAAAGAAGACATTATGGTGCGTTACGCCAGCAGTGGGGAAATGGCCTTCACCTGCCATAACTTGTAAATTGTACTGTGGGCTTGCTCTATTTAGAAATCTTTTTCTTAAAATTCTTGTCTCAGAAAAAAAAACATTCTGTGTGTGTGAGAAAGTGTGTGTGTGCAAACATTACACAAGGAGTGTAAATCAATCCACTTGTTTGTGAACACAAAGAACCCCAAATGCAAAAGTGTGAAAAGAGGGTAAGGAGCATGATTCCAGATTGCCCTGGATATCTAGGCACGTCTTAAGACACCGTTTTTTATTAAGAAAAGATCATATGGATGCCAATATATTTTTTAGCCTTGGTGACTTGTGGCTGGAAATGACACCTCTTTCTCCACAATCACAAACAGAGCATCTCTCCATAATCAGCTTTGATACGTTTACTTTAGGCTTTCTTACTTCAGTAAATCTCTTTACTCCACAAAGGGCTCTTCTAGAGTTACTCAGGGAAGGAATTGCCTCAAATTTAGCAGGCCTCTATAAGATTTTGAATTGTTTCACTAACTTCAGAGGCCCTTTTTCCTTTGCCCACCTTATTCTCTCCTAGACCAGTGATGCAAATTATTGCATGTGAAGGTGACTGAATCAGAGTTAATTTAGATTTCCTTAGCTTTCTGTATATTAACATAACTTGACATAACTTGAGAAAAATCTCAGCAAAAAGTCCAATGATTATTCCATGAAATTGTCATCTAACACTTGGAAATATCTTACCAATAGTACAGAAAGAAATAAAGAACCAGGATTGACCTTCAGGATTCAATTTGGGGCCTCTAGGAAATGTCCCCGAAATGCCCATATTTCAGCAGTATGAATTCAGCCTATTTTGAGATTCTGGGGTAATTTAGGATGGCAATGAAAATTATTTTCCTTGGGGGAAGATCTTATTTCCCTCCTCTTCTTTAATTCATTTGAAAAGACCATTCAGCAAGTTTGTTGGTAGACAAGGAGCAAGCAGCTTTAAAAAAACAGATATAACTATTGCCTTGCTAAACATCATTTTTAATTTGTCCTGATTAAATGATTAATATGATTAAATGGTCTCAGGAACAGAAATGATATCCCCTAAGTATCCACCAAGAAATAAATGCAGCTGGGACTGGATAGTGGTGTGTTTGCCCCATCTGCACATGATCCCTTACCCTGGAGGGATGATCTAGATCAGAGATGGGGAACTATGGCCCTTTTATGACTTGTGAACTTCGACTCCCAGAATTCCTGAGCTCAAAAATTCTGGGAGCTGAAGTCCACAAGTGATAAAGGAGCCATAGTTCCCCACCTCTGATCTAGATCATCCCTCCAGGAATGACAGAGTGACAGGAATCTTGAATAAAAGCCTCTCACTGATCTTCTGTTGAATTGGCTGTAGAGGATGTTACATCTCATGTGGTAAGGAACAGCAGGTTAATATAGAAAACAATACCTGAAAAACAATATTGCACATTTGCTAATGGATCTTTGGCATATCACAGGAATTATAGGATGAACAGATGGAACCCAACTTTTACCTTAACTGTGTTCAGAAACCATCAACTGTTGAATATTATCTTTGAATGCCAACGCATTTTCAATTTTCTCAGATTGAAACCCCCCCCCCCAAAATCCAGAAATCTTGTCCTTCACTTTCACTCACACTTCTCTATTTTGGGCAATTTGGAATTGAGGACTCCTATTATAAATAAAACTGAAGCAAGACAACTGGGCTTCTTTTTAAACTGTTTATTGTATAATATAAAACTACAAAAGTAAGACTGCTCATTTCCATGTAATTTGCCCATTTTTATTATTATTACAGCCCATACCTACAAGTGAATACAGTAATCTGGTTTCAGATGTATATGTCTGTAATATTGCATAGAAAAGGCACAGCTCTAAGGTCTGTCGCGGGATAGGAATGGGGGCAGAGGGAGAAAATATCAGCGTTTTGGAAAAAAACAACCCTTGTTTTAAAACAACCATGCACCAAATATATCCTCCTTTTTACATCTTCCTCATCCCCCTCCCCTGAAATCTCTGCTTTAAGAGAGTCTTGTGTGTGTTATTACAATGTTAAGCATCTGCAAGGTTTTAACTTAGGAAAAAAAATAAACAAAGCCCAAAATTAGCATTAGAATTATTTTTAACATTGAAAAAAAAAGACTATAAAATGAGTGGAAATTCCCCCCCCCCCCCCAAAAAAAATAATTCAGACATGTTATAAGCATATTAATAAAAGCAAGGTCTTGGATTTTCTTTTCCTAACAATCACAATTACATTCTAGATCCAATGAGCCATTTTAGGAGGGTGCATGTCCATTTGCTCACGGTTGTTATCAAACTGTAAACTTTAGATTCACGAATCAGGTTCTACAAGACAATCAGGAAAAAAAAATCACATGGTACAATTTATTCTCATCCTGGCCTCTCTGAAAAAGCAGCCTTAATTCTGTCTCTCACTGTAAAGCAGAGCAACTAGCAGGAAGAGTAATGTTGGTGGCAACAGTTTCCATGTGGGAAGTCTCTCTCCTGAAAGTAACTGAGAGGAAGAGGGACTTCAGGGCACTTTTATTGGCATGGTCTACAAAGTGCCCACAATTCTGTCCGAGAATTGTGGGCTTAGACTCTGCTCTCTGGAGCCAAGCCCAGGCTGGACCTTCCTTGCTTCCCAGCACAGTTGATGTTCTGAAGAAGGGTGGGAGATGTGAATCTGGGGCCTTGAGTCACAGTTCATCCAGCCTATCAAATATTCTTCACTCCACCCAAAAGACTAAAATGAGTCCCCCTCACAGAATGCTTCAAACTGCAGCATTTTGCCCAGGGTCTTAAGGTCTGTTTGCGCTTGTCTAGAAACACTTCCCTAGGAAGGGTGGCGGTTATAAGATCAGATTTGCCTCTCTGCTGATGAAACTGTCTTAAAAAGTGGATACAAGTATCTCTCTTTGAAACCAATAGGAAAGCCTTCCATAAAACTTGTTAGCTTTCAGCATGGCTTACTACACCTACTATGGGGTACCTCCTTATTAATCCTTGGAAATTTGATATAAACATTTGCACTGACAAATCTACATTTTGGCCACCTATCTGCGCATCCAAAGTTGCAAAACCCAACAGAAATGTGAATGCAAATGCTTTTAGTTGATTTTCGATCAGATGAACATATTCTTCCACAGATTTTGTCCCATATTAACTTCTACCATGTTTCTCCTAGAGGCTTCCTTGTTCAATTTCATATAAGTGTAGGACAGTTAATCTGAAAGCTATATAATAGCTAGCAGATAAAGGAGTTATTGCAAATTGTGTCCTACAGCTAGCTCTACTCAGACCTAAAAATCAGCTTTGTCATGGAATTCCACTCTTTCCTTCTCCCACTACTGTTTTCTGCATTGCTTTTGTTTTCTCCTGAGAAGTCTGATCAGGACATGCTACTGGATACAGGTGTATTCAATATACAACAGTGCACTGTACATTCACCATATTTGATCTACAACAGGTCACTTTCAACAGTGCTCTTTAAAAAAACTACTTATGCATAATCATTTGAAGCAATATAGGGACAAGTTATAAATATGCATTTTTGAAACAGGTTGTGTTATGCCACTTTACACTCTCTGCAGAAGAAAAGGCACACTTATGTGTAAAGTAAAGGCTAATCTTACCTTAGGTTGGTTAATGGATTTTGGCACCCTCCCTCCCCCCCCTTTAAAATTTCCCAGTTTTAAGCACTAGCAGCTCAAACTGAAACTCTGCAGGGGTGAGGGTGGGGGGACAGATTGCTGTGATGTGAAGCTCAGGTTGCCAAAGCAATTGAACTCTTCGGGTCGGGAAGCTGCTTTCACCTTACATCATCTTCCATTGCAAGAAGCCAGCTTGCTCTGCCCAGTCTTTCTAGCTAGGATGAATCTTGTGGTGCACGCTGCTTCTGTGCAACTTTGAAGGAAGAAAAATCTTAAAACACTCTTCCTTTATTCATCAGCAAACATATACTTCAGGTTAACATGCATCCTTATCCAGTTCCAGCTACCAGAGTGAGAATATATCACTTTAGGCCTTTTAAGATTGAAATTCTGTACATGCTTATTCAGGAGTAAGTTTAATTAAACTCAGTGAGACTTACTCCTGAGTAGACATTATGCAACAAAGTCTCACTGAAACCAAAGCTGTATTTGACTGTTTGAACTAGGATCTGGCCCATTTGAAATACCCAGCGATACCAAAAGATTGATTTGTATAACTGAGTTTATAATTTTTTTTTTTTTTGCATGTCCTACAGAATCAAAGTGACTCTCAGTAGAGAAAAGCAGGAGAGGCGGGAGAGAGATCTGATGAATGACATGTATTCTGAACAGAACCCAGATAATAATCTCCAAATCTAACTTTCAGTTCCCTCTTGTATGGATTTCACATTCCTACAAGAGAATACATTCCTACCATACATTCTGTACATGTTACAATCCAGATGTTGTTAGCTTCACAATAAAATAAATATATTTACAAAAGAAAAATAAAATGGAATAAATAACTTATGAAAAACAAAATGGAAAAAAAAATCACTTCAAATTCAAACAGCTCTTTTTAATTCTGTTCTCTTCTTGTCACTTCATTGCACTTTTTGTGTCATTAAAAATGTCCCCAGCATTCAAGATGGAATTTGGAGAGTGGGGAAAAGAAGAACTTGTAGTCTGGTAAATTCAGATCCTTTAAAGGAGGAGGTTATATTACAGAGACAGAAGTATTTAAACTGGTATTTCTGTGAGGCCACTCATCATATTGGGTGTCTAATTCTATGGGGTGGATGCACTATCTGCCACAATCATACTCATTTGCATCACAGAATGTTGCAATCAGGACTAGTTTCTGCTCAACATTTCAAATGGCTTTGCTTTGTACAGCAAGGTTAGCATTTGGAAAACAAACCTACTGTTCCTCTCTAAAATGGTGTTAATTTGAACTTCTGCCCAACATGTGGTATTTGTTTACATACTCCATTACCTCGTCCAAAAAGGAAAGTATTGTTTCTGGATTACGTGTAAAATCAGATTTTGACAATGGTAAATCTTGTTTGTTTACTTTTTTCCTTCACGTTTTAATTTTAATCTAAACCTAGACTGTTCCAGCAAAGGCTTGGGATTCTGCCATCCTGATTAAAACTAAATTGAGTGTTTTCTAGCATTGCACATATCTGCACCCAAGATTATCCTACTTGGCTAGTAACACATCAAGTAAGCATCTTTTTTCTACCATATCTGGTTACCCTATCTAGTTCTGCACAGATCTGGACAACCAAATGGTGGAAGCAAAGATATATTTTTTTTGTATGCGTTTGTTACAATTTAGTGGTATTTTGGATTTCTGCAGCCCAGATTTGAAAGACCTAATCTTCTCAAATCCACAAATTCCTAATGAAACTGTAATTCGGTGTTATTTTATACAATACCAGCCATATTCCTAGTGATTACCAGACTAACAGAAGAGAAGAGGCATTCTTGTTCAGGGCATTTTGTAATCTAAACTGGTTGTTATAACTTCTAATTAAAATTTTTGAATATGCCAGCTCTTTTTTTCCTCCCCACAACAGGAAGAATTGGGGAAAATATGCTTGCTTATAAAGATGAGCAACTTCAAATTATAACTATACTGTTATTTGAATGAAATAAACTTTTCAAGAAAGATAGCAAAATATGATTAACGTATTAGAATTTAGTTGATAATTTGGCATGGCATATTTGTGTATGCATGCAGCACTCTAATTACCTAGATAGTTTGGACACAAATAAAAAACTCTGTGCATTGTATATAATAAATTACATGCATTTTAAATAAATATATATGGCCTGTTCTAAAGTGCCAGTTTATAAAGCTGCCATCTTAAAGGCAGAAAAGACCCAATTTTTAAAAATCCATGACAAGAAGTAAGCAGAACCAACTGAATATTGCCAAATTACATAAACATAATTTAAATTTTCTTAAATAAATATAAACGTTATTCCTAAAGAAGCCATATGCATATCAACAGTATAGTTTGTAACCTGCACTCAGTACCATTTAAAATTAATATGCCATAGCAATCTCGGCAACAGGCATGAAACATTGCAAGTTTTGTTTAACACAAATGTACATCACAAGGAACAGAGAGAGAAAAATTGCAACAGGTGCAGAAATGAGACGACTTAAGTGGGGAGGAAACATGCATAGATTGCAGTTTCAATACATTGTCAAACAGGCCATATAAAGTATAAAGCAAGGAACAGAGTGGAATCAAGAAACCAACCCCCCCCCCCAAAATACCAAGTGTTCAAAGCACAACTAGCTCCAGTTTTAAGAGCAATGGATACTTGAGTGAGTCCATCCAGTGCTGATAAGAGATGATTTCACTGCAGTAATACTGAAGTTAGATTTTTTTTCAGCACTTGCCAACAGAGTGAATAAGAATATTAACGTTCCAAGCAAAGGGCAAGAATCATCATAAGAATGATTAGAAGAAATAAGGTACATTAGAATTATACTGTCACAGAGACAAAAGGGCCTTTTTCTGCTCCTGATCCTAAACTCAGTTTCTTGGAAGGAATCTCTACTGATTTCAATGCAACTTACTTTCAGGCTTTAAACAAAATAAAAACCCAAAACAATTAAACAAAACAATCTGCTACAGCCACAGCATGCTTCGCCTTAAAACTGGTAAGTGCCTCAATTGTGATGCTCTAAAACTAGATGCCATTACTATGGTAATATCTCAAGACAGAGTGAAATATACCAAAGCTCACTCATTTCTACTGTTTGAATCTGAACGGGGCACTCTATCAACTGTGCACTCTGTCAACTGCACTTACCAAAAAGAAAGATATTTTCAGGAACACAACTTTCTCACCAGGAAAACTGTAAAATATGAGAAGGTTGAGCTCAACAAACTTAAGGACACTCTACTCTGTCAGACGAAGGATGGAATCTGTTTTGCAAATTTTAAAAAAGCTTGGTTGGAGGAAATATATTTTTATTTCTTGATCCTTTTGGAGTGAGGGAAGGATGAACAAGGGAGTTTCATCAGAATAAAGTTTCACAGCTATTTCTTGCCAACTGTTTGACATCAGTGTTGGAATATACATGGCTCTAAGGTTTTTGTTAATCACAGTAGTAGGCAGCAGGGAGTAAATATCTGTGAAACTTTTAAGGGAAGAGCCCTTGGTCTTTTCCTTCAAGCATGGTGTCTGGATTCAGGGAGGCCAGCTGCAGACTGATTTGATCCAAACTTCTCTTTGCACCATTATATGCATATAAAACACTACAAGTCTGTATAAAACTACAAGCAGTTCTTGTACATCAGAAGGTATATGCAGGAATGGGGTGAGCAAATCCTACCAAAATAACTATTTCCTTTTTTGTGTGTATGTGAGTACAAACAGCATTTTTGTTTTGTTTCTTTTTCTTTTTCTAAGAAAAAAACCCAATATCATAAATTGCAGAATCTATACAAAAATATAAAATAAATTTGGGTAGCAGTTTCTAAAGAGCCATGTAAATGCAACATTTAAAGAGGAATCATTAATACCTCTAAAAAGGCTGGATTGCTAAGTCAACCTAGACAGTGCTAAAATGCCAAAAAGGTACTGCAATTATCTAAATAATATTTTAACCTCTTGCAATAAAACTTATAGAAAAAATAGACAAATATGCACATGCAATTTACAGCTTTTTCCCAACATAATCCTTGTGCTTAGCTTTTACATTTTTTTTTTGTCAAACATATTTATGTTTTACAATATGCATTTTCTTCCTATATTAGGATTTCAGGTCTCCCTTGAGGAACCACTTTCAGAAATACATTAAAAGTGGTCATACATGAATGAAGGCACTCCAACTCTGCTTGAAGCAAAAACAAGTATGATCCTTAAAAAAAAAAAAAGACAAGCAAAGACGCATGCACAGTGGTGTGTGTATTTGCGTGCGTGCATATATGTGTGTGTCTATGTGTTTCTTGGTAGGTTTGGAAGGAGAGGGGGCCTTGTGAAAATACTACCAAGGGTTTATACTGGTGCGTTTAAAAAGTTGCTATCAATCTATGACCCAACAAGCACCTCCATAATGTGATCCAGTTCTGTAAGGTCCATTTTGAAAGGCTGATTGGGGGTTACTGGCTGGGTACTGTAGGGTGCCAGAGTTTTGAGGAGGTCATCTGCGGAGACAGGAGCCATTTTTGAGGCAGCCCCTGTAGAGGATGTGCAAGGGTCAAAATCATACATAGACGTATCAATGTCTGCAAAGAGAATATCATCCAGGGTCAAGTCTGTAAGAAAACCTGTAGAAGTTGTGATCTCAAAATTGCCAGGTAATGAGTCCATGAGTTTAGGCTCACTCATTCTGTTCTCCTGTATACCCTCAGGCTTTTGAATGCTGGATTCACTGGAATTCTCCTTAGAGTTATCTGGTGCAGTTGTATCTGCTGCTGCTGTAGTTACTACTGCCTCAGCGGAGGTAGGTGTTGGACAGAGCTCCTCAATTTCATCCAAGGCTGAGGAGAAGCTGTCCTTTACTGGTTGGATCGTTGGAGGTGGTAATTTTGGAGGACCATCTAGTGAGATAGTCTGGGAAGTGCAAAAAGTGTCATCCTCAAGCAGAGAGGCAGGGGTGAGGCAAGACTCCAGTGGTGTAGGGCTTGCTAAGTCAGTGGGGTGGACTGGCGGAGAGGCCAGATGGCTAAAGGCAGGCTGAGCTTCTCGAAAGTTGTCTCCAAGAGGATCTGTAGGCTGTGATGGGGTGAGGAACATAGGCCTCAAGCTGCCTTCCTGTTTGAGCTCCTCTTGGATCCGCCTCAACATGTTGTTAATTAAAACGGTCTTTTGCAGGCTCGGCTCTGTTAAGGGCCTGTGGTTATAAAGTTTCATAAGGGAAATGTTGAAGATAGTCTGGCGCTGTAAGGTGTAAGACACCTTAGATGGACCATCGGTAGGAGACACCACTTTGCCTTCCAGCCCATCTTCATGCTCGTCAAACTTCCGTTTTCCTCCTTTCCCCAACATATATCTGAAAATAAAAGAAGAGAAATATTGAGTAGGATAGAACAATCCATCAGTATTGTAGCCACTCTAAGTTCAGTCTATTCCAACCTGAAGCCCTTGAGAGGTATTTAGATATATTTCACTGTGAGCTGTAGTCCCAACATATTGGAGAGAGCCAGATATAGGAAGCTAGCCACAATCATCTTAAGAAGACACAAAGAAAACAAACCCAAGAATGTATGTATGTATGTATGTATGTATGTATGTATGTATGTATGTATTAGTTCGATTTATATGCCGCCCTTTTCCGGAGACTCAGGGCGGCTTACAATACGTTAAGCAATAGCCTTCATACTTTTTTATATACCTGCTTAGTAGGGCTTTCACCCCCCACCCCCCCACTAAGCGGTGTTCTTTTTTATACAAAGTCAGCTTATTGCCCCCACAAACTGGGTCCTCATTTTACCTACCTCAAAAGGATGGAAGGCTGAGTCAACCTTGAGCCTGGTGAGATTTGAACTTGCAGTAATTGCAGGCAACTGGTGTTACTTAACAGTGCTTTAGTCTGCTGCGCTACCAAGGCTCTATTTATCTTGCCTTCAAAAATTGTCATCCAAGTATTTAATCAACCTGTCAATTGCAACCAAATGGTGAACTGGAAACTGAACCAAGACTGTAAACTCAGAAAAATTGGTTGATGATAGAGATAGATGCAAAAGCATCACAGTAAGTAATTAACAGAGTTAACAGTAATCCTGCACACTGTTATCTCAGACCAGTAGTAAGACTTTATATTCCAATTCACCAGGAATAGAAAAAGCAGGATGTGAATCCAAGAGATTCTTATTCTAACTCATAGCACATTAAAAAAAAAAAAAAACTGTGGCCAGGCATGGGTAACTCACCACTGCATTTCAGATCCCTTTGCCACCAAGCAATTTAACAAAAGCAGTAGATCTTTTTCCTGAAAGCCTGCCAAGCAGGAAGAAATAGGAATATATGAGAGGTATGTAGAGAAGAAAGTGTAAATAGGATGTCAAAGAAAAACAAAATGTATAAATGCTTTCTTTTTTGGCTTTAGTATAAAGATTCATTATTTATTTTATTTAGATTACAGTCTATACTTGGCTTTTGAAAGCTATATTGAAGGCTGCACTTCAAAACCACGGATAAGGCCATGGCAAAAAATAGACTTGGTTTCCTATGAAGATTACTTCCTAACCCAGTTAATAATTGTTCTCCTTAAAGTAAATAATATTGAACATTAAAACATCCATTTAGCAACACGTTTTGAAGGTAACAATCAATATTTTCAAGGGCTACTTATAGCTTTAGGGCTTCTTCACTACCATTTGCTTTAGCTTCTCCTTCCTTAGTACTACATCCTCCCTCTCCCCAATAAATTACCTCAAAGGAATAGAAAAGACACACCCACCCATCCATCCAGGAAGTCCCTAAATATAATAGCAGTAGCAATAGACTTATATACTACTTCACAGTGCTTTACAGCCCTCTCTAAGTGGTTTACAGAGTCAGCATATTGTCCCCAACAATCTGGGTCCTCATTTTACCACCCTTGGAAGGCTGGAAGGCCGAGTTAGCCTTGAGCTGTGAGGATTGAACTCCTGGCAGTGAGCTGAATTAGCCTGCAATACTGCATTTTAATCACTGTGCCACTACGGCTCTAATACAATGGCGCTCCAAATATTGTATCAGTTAGTGATGTGATGTATTAATAAATAATTGCTAATTATAAACCACACTCCTGTGACCCTCACAAGAGCAGAAATGCTCAAGAAGTCAAATCTTCAAATGCAAATGAAATGTGAGAGTCCATTTGAATTGGTGGTTTTCTTGAATGTCACACGAGAGCAAGAGCAGGAAATGCCTTTCACATTATGGCCACATGTCAGAGCTAGCTACAGTGTGAATGTAAAATAGCCCTGAAGGTTCCAGGCCTGGCCCGTTCCGTATTCCTCCCATCAGTCTTTAACAAATTGCTCATATAAAATGAAGGAATTTTCCAGCTCTGAGAGTTACAGAGAGAATGCTGGACTGAACCTGGTTTCTATTAGGACAGCTGGAGTTTTTCTGTGATGATTATGGAATGGGGTTTCTTTTTCTAGCCTGGTTCTGCTAAAACTGCGTATCACTATCCCATGATATTGAAGGAGTCCCTATGCCCCTCCCTGGCCCATGACTTAGGAAATGAAATACTGGGGAAACTGGCAAGGATGCCCTCTGAAACAACAGGACCTCAAAAACAATCCATGTGAACACCTATCACTGAATTAATTCTAAGTATCAGTGAACATGCAGGTTATAACACTAGGAGTTACTTGGGGATTTTAGGTTCTTCATGTTCTTTTGTAGGTAGCCCACAAAAGGAGGACTAGGTTGCAGCCTCTTAAAAGTATATAGGGGCAAGAAGCAGGTTCCTCTATCTCAGTGGTTCTCAACCTGTGGGTCGCGACCCCTTTGGGGATCGAATGACCCTTTCACAGGGGTCGCCTAAGACCATTGGAAAACACATGTTTTCGATGGTTTTAGAATAATTTTATGATTGGGAGTCACCACAACATGAGGAATTGTATTAAAGGGTCACGGCATTAGGAAGGTTGAGAACCACTGCTCTATCTGCTTTGTACCACAACACCCATAACCAGCAGGTGTTTAATGGTAGGTTTATAACAGATACACAATGCCTAACAACTTTAAAAGCTCCTTGGTGCTCTCTGAGTTTGGTTGTTTTTCATCACCCAGCTAGGTAACATTTTCAGTGCTAGAACTGGGGCTAACACCGCAGAACCAGTGAAAAAATCCATAGCAGTGGTATCATGCAACTACCTAACCTAATCAAATAAGTAAGATCTGAACACCCAGAATGATGGACCTTCCCATCCTCTGCTTCACTTATCTAATTTCAGTTTGATATGCAGATATATCAACACCTATGAGATCACCACTCTTAGGATACATAACAGAGATATGCAGCAGTCTTTAAAACTATAATACTCCCATGCATACAACCTTACGTTTGGATCCAGTATGAATATGACACTTTCGTCATAATAAAAAAGGAACTAGAAAAGATACGTGAACAATCAACATATTCAAAGGAATAAAATTCACATGGGCAGAAGAAAACATCAACACCACACTATCCTTCCTGGATATCCTCCCCAGCAAAGGAAATGGTGGCAAATTAGAAACACAAGTCTATCATAAAACCACCCACACTAACCAAGCGATCCACCTCAAAAATGCTATCAGTGACAATGTTACCTAGCCAGATAATGAACACCTGCATGAAAACAATCAAGTTCAGAAAGCATCAAGGACTCCATAGTTCAACCCTGTGCTACAGACATTCTTTTTCATTGGAACTTAAAAGGCATATAACATGCATGATTTTGAATTACTTGCCTACCCGCCTAGCTGAACCCTGAGTTGCTTTCCCATCTCAAATATAGCTGCCTACTTCATATGTGGTGGAATGTTTCTTAAGCTCCAACTATCACAGCTAGAACCCTTGGGCTGTGAAGTTTTTTTTAAAAAACTATCTCAACTGAATAAGGTACCTCAACCTTGGAACTGCAGCTGTAAAAGTTCTCTCTGGAATTATTCCAAAGCAGAAAATACAAGCACGCACAAAGCATTCCTTCAACTGCACACACCCGCACGTAGAATAGAAATGAAAATAATTATGAAAATGCTAACCTGATAGCATATAAGAAATACAAAACGTATATTGCAAGTAGAGGGGAAAATAACAAGGATGTTAACTATAATATTTTTAGCACTGACTTATTAACTTTCTTGAGAACTACCTATAGCTTCTTTTTGATTAAAAACTCTTCACAAAGCAATTTATAAATTAAGCGTGCAAAAAGCTGAGTCAATGCAATTGAAACAACAAATGAAAAATAACATCCATTCCAAATATCTGGGGCCAACACAGACAGAGGCTCTAGGTGTCGAACAGATTTTCCAGCTCTTATGGAATGTGGAAAAAAAAAAGTTCTCAAGATTCTAACTCTATCTTTTAAGCGAATTTATACAACATAATATTCCTACAATCTTCTTAATATTTCTAGAAATCAAAAATAGTGTCAGTTATAGATTTGGACTGCCTTGCTCATGCTCCATTCGCTCAGTAGAGTAAATAACAAGCTTCACAGGGTAGAGAACCAAGAATCTACTTTATAAACCTAAGGTATTTTAGACTGGGACAGCATTAAGACGTGACAGTACTAACTTTTATATATTAGAAACATTAAAAAAAAAAAGGTAAAGAGGTCCCCACAGTTTTTGCCCTGCTAGTCATGACCGACTTTAAAGGGCAGTGCTCATCTCCATTTTTTAAGTCAAAGAGTCAGCAATCATGTGGCCAGCAGGACATTATGTTGCAGCACAGACCATATGGCAAAACATGGAACGCTGTTACCTTCCTGTATGTTTTTATTAGAAATAATATTCCAATTTTATTCTGGGGCTGGATGTGCTCTAAGTAGTTCAGGGTGGAATCATTGAATTTCTGACATTCTATTCTACACAGAACTTGGCTCATTGAAAAGAATAAAAAGAGGAACTTTATTCTTTTTTAATTAAATGGGGGAAAAGGGCTGTGTGTGTTATTTTACGGAGCCTTGGATATGGGGTGGAGGTGAGCAGTTATTTCAGTGACTGGAAAGACCGAAGTGGTGAGAGTGAACATTGAATGGCTTGCAATGGGTAGATTAGATTAGATTAGATTAGATTAGGCTGAAAAATGATGGACTAAAGGGCCTATCTTCAAACTTGAGATGGATGATATCACATTGATCATGTTTTCAGACTGAGATAGTGAGAATATTTAGGCTGACGTTGGAAGGATTTCCTGACAGGATAGTCAGTCGTTATGGCTGAGCATACTTTACCTTAGTTCAATCAATTCACAAGGTTGTTGTTACTGCAATGAACAACTGGGGAAGGAGGTGTCCTTGATCTCTCAGAAGAAAATTGGGAAAAACCTAAGAAGCAACT